TTAAGGATTCAATATTACGTTTGGTTTCTTTACGTCGTGTTGTATGTTCTTTATTGGGAATTTGTAGGTGTTTATCATTAGGACCTATCGTAAATATTGGTAAATGGTCTGAAATATCATAATATATTATTCCATTCTGTTTATTATCTAATACGTTTGAGAAAATATTATCAATTATAGTATGTGTTAAGTTTGTAATCCTAGTTGGTTTATTAATGAGAGGTTTAAAAAAAAATGAAGATAATAAATTAGTGAAGTGTTGGCCAAGAACGGTAAAAGGTAAGGATATATCGATATTAAAGTCTCCCATAATATATACATCTTTATTTTCTCTAGAAATAAATTCAAGGCATGATTCTAATTCATCAAAAAATGTGTCGGCTACATTGTTAGGTGGTCTGTACATTACCCCAACGATTCTATTCTTATGTTTATCATCAATAATTTCTAAAAATAATGTTTCTATTCCTTCCAGTTGAATATCATGTCTTATTTTAAATTGTACATCATTACGAGAATAAAAAGCGACACCTCCCCCCTTTCCGTTTTTACGGTCTGAATGAATAAATTCATAATTCTCAATGTTGAATATTGGAGGAGAAGTTGAGTGTAACCAGGTTTCGGTAAGTCCTATCAAAGAAAATGAAAATGTGTTTAGGATAGATAAAAATTCTTCAAAATTATCGAAATTCTTTTGTAAGCTTCGAATATTGATGTTTAATAAACTAAAACAGTGAAGGTTATTATTGGGTCCCGTTGAATTAAAATTTGAATTAAATTCACTAGTAGTATAATATTTACTCTGGGGTGTATAAACTTGATCATTCAGAATATCATTTAAAGCCATTAAGATTACAAATGTGGTATTGCGACCAGTATAAATGAATACTATGTGTTTGGTGCGTGCATGTGCGTGTAAGAGTGGAAGTGCATTTATAATGGGTGTCGGCAAAAACCAACAAAATCAGGGGGGTGTACATGATGTTCACTTGTGCGTGACTATCAGACAGACTCGGGGCCGGTGACAGCGTTCAAACGTGGTCATTAATTAAAAATAAAAAAAAACTTAGAAATTTGTAATTTAAGAAAGTTTTATTATTATTATTTTTTTTTTTTGAGTATTGTTATCGTTTAAATTTACAGTGATGAATTGTTTTCGAAACGTACTACCTTTAAGTTACAGAGAAAGGTGGGTAAGCCTATGTGCTATACCTAAGGGGGTGAGAAGGAAACAACGTTCAGCATTAAGGACTGGATTATGATTGACATGAGAATAGGGATTTACAGGGGGGTATGATAATACCTTGGCTTTAGCATAAGTAATACAAATAAGCAATAGTTAAGTTGAAATAAAATGAATTAACATATATCATGCCGATCCACGTCACACCGACGAAACACCGCCAGACACCGGCGAACCAGCATACCGCGGAGAGACCGCGCCACATGATAACATTAAATCACGTCATCATGGAGCGCGAAATACCAACGATACGCCAGCCACCAGACCAGGCAACGAAACGCCAGAGCAGCGCAAACGCTACTCGTTGGTCCCTCCCTGACAACCGGCAGGGCAACCAGTCCAGCGGGTGAGGGTCGCTGATCATCTAACCGTGAACCGCGGGCCACGCCCACAGACATGGTCGCCACGCACTACGTTTAAAACAAGAAAAACCATCAACAAAAAACAAGCGATAGTACACTAGTTTCGTGAAAACGACAATGATATAATGAAACACCGAGCATGGTATTGATGGCCAAAATTGCCCAATAGTAACAAATAAAAATCAGTCGAAACTCGGCCAGGCATTCAAGTTAAAAGTCGATATATGTAATGTATAATAATTAAACTACAATGAAACAGTCACTAACGATTTGTTTTGGGCAGTCTCATTTGCAAAATTACTCAATGCTACACAAATTATCCCGCATTTCATAATTAACTCAACCGGGCACTAGGTCAGAGGCACGAAGGTAGCAATGGCCAAAGACACACTTTAAGAATACAGACCAAATAGGACATTGACATCGCCATAATGCTTATTCAAGCATTTTTGTGTATGTATTGGAGAAAAAAAAATCAGCCATGCAGGCCAAAAAATGTTAAAAAGTCGAGTGTATGTAATATATAATAATTAAACTACAATGAAACAGTCACCACCGATTTGTTTTGGGCAGTCTCATTTGCATAGTTTTCAATGCTACACCAAAAAATAAGCCCGCATTACATAATCAACTTAACCGGGCACAAGGTCGGAGGCATGAAAGTAACAATGGTCAAAAGCACAATTTATGAATGCATACCAAATAGGGCATTTACATCGCCATAATGCTTATTCAAGCATTTTTGTGTATGTATTGGAGAAAAAAAAATCAGCCATGCAGGCCAAAAAATGTTAAAAAGTTGAGTGTATGTAATGTATAATAATTAAACTACAATGAAACAGTCACTACCGATATGCTTTGGGCAGTCTCATTTGCATAGTTTTCAATGCTACACCAAAAAATAAGCCCGCATTACATAATCAACTTAACCGGGCACAAGGTCGGAGGCACGAAAGTTCGAAGCGCAGAAATATATAACGTACACAGTTATTGTATATACATATACAGTTTATAAGAGTGATTGGTGGTGGGGGTTGTGGTTATTTTACCTGACTGCTAAGAAAGCATAAATGCCTATAAGTAAGCAACCAGCCGGCCGATGGCTTTATGTCCTCTCCGAGGGACCTGGTAATGAAGATTAATGCCTTACCAAAATGGCACTAGCGCATCGACTTGGTTTCGAACCCGGGTCCCCGGATTACGAGACCATTGCTCTACCAACTGAGCTATCGCGCCTTCAGCGGCGACCGAGCGATGCTCTAAAAACAAGCGTTGCCCGGGTGGCAGCCGCTCGGTGCCTGAGCGAAATTGGCTAAAACTCGGCGGCCGGCCGTAGAGCAGGCTACTTTTGAGGTTGTGACCATAGCTTTAGCTGAAAAACATTTTGCAATAGCTGCATCAAAGACTTGGAACAGCATTCCACTTTCCATATGGGAAATCACCTGTCTTGCCACCTTCCAAAGATCCCTGAAATCTCACCCTTTCCCCAGTGATTAACGTGATCTACTTCATGTGAGACTGTACATTTTTTTCTCTTGTTTTTATATATTTGCATTATTTTGTAAGCGCTATGGTCAGAGGCGGCGGACCCAGGGGGGCAGGGGGGGGGCACAGTGCCCCCCCACTTTTTCAAGTACCCAAAAGTGCCCCCTTTTCCATTGGAAAAGTGCCTCTTTAACTTTGTAAGAAGCGCCCCTTTTTACATAAAAAGTGCCCCTATTACTTATATGTGCCCCTGTTAATTTTTAAAAGTGCCCCTCTCCTTTTCACCTCTGATATAGGCCCCTTTTATTTTGACACGTACCTCTTTTCCCAGACAAGTTCCCAGTTTCCTTTGCAATAAGTGTCTATTTTCCATTCTCATAAGTGCCCCTTTTCACTTTTGTTAAGCGCCTCCTTCACCTCTGATAATTGCCCTATTCAGATCTTAGAGGTGCCCCTTTTACTTTGACAATTGCCCCATTTCCTTTGTAAGAAGTGCCCCATTCCCTTTTAATAACTATCTCTTTTTAACTCGGATAAGCGCACCTTATATTTTCACGTGTGCCCCCTTTCCTTTCTAATAAGTGCCCCTTTTCCTTATGATAAGTGCCCCCATTTAATAAAGAGCCCTTCGCCTTTTCATAAATGCCCCTTTTCACCTAATAGGTGAAAAGTAGTAGGAGTAGGAGAATGAAAAAGGACTATTTTCATAGTATGAAAATAGTCCTTTTTCATTCTCCACCTAGTGCTCCTTTTCATGTCTGGTAAATTACCCTATTCAATTCTGAGAGACAATCGTTTTATTTTGAAAAGTGCCCCCTTTTCCTCCTGATAAGTGCTCTTTTTCCTTCATAATTTCCGCTTTTCATAAAAGCCCCCTTTCACCTCCAATAAATGCCCCTATCAAAATCTGATCAGTGCTCCTTTTCTTTCAACAAATGCACATTTCCCTTTATTATTAGTGCCCCTTTATCATTCTCATAAGTGCCTCTTTCATATATGGTGTTTGTTCCTTTTCAGGTGCGATAAGTGCCCCTTTTTACCTCTGATAATTAACCTTTTTTAACAATGATACGTTCCCCTTTTCCTTTCTTATGAGGAACCTATCCCTTTTTCATAAATGCCCCTATCAAAATCTGATGGTTGCCTCTTTTCCGTCGACAAATGCCCAATTTCCATTCTCATAAGTGCCTTTTCATCCCTGGTGAGTGCCCCATTTTCACTTCTGATAATAACCCTTTGTACTCTTACACGTGCTTCTTTTATTTTCTAATAAGTGTCTTATCCCTTCGATAAGTGTCCCCTCTCCTTTCATCATTAAACGTGCCCCTAATTTAAAGCGACTAAGAGCAATATCTCACATTTATAGATGTTATAATTAGGTTACTTATCAAAGGTCTTTTCAGTTTGCTGTTATGAAAATATGCTTATTTATAACCCGATGAGGATTGGTTTTTCCTCTTTATAAGATGTAGTTTTTCGCACTGTGACCTCCCAAATCTTATATTTTTCTTCGCTCGCAAATGATTTTTTCGACCATCACACCCAACTGCAAGGTATGATGCTTTAAAAAGCAATATTTTATACGATGTATAAAGAGAAACAAATATTGAAATCATCCATGACATTGTATTCAAATTTTAGGGATATAATTTATACCAATGTCTAAAAATTGTTTATTTTCGCTTTGAGATTTCCCTTTGTAGGTGCCCTTTTCCCCCAGAAAGTGCTCTTTTTTGTTGGTGCCCCCCCCCACTTTGGAAGTCGCTCCGCCGCGTCTGGCTATGGTACTAATTGTTTTTAGCGCTTCTTAATATTAGATATCATTATTATTATTATGTTGTGTGTAACGCAGAATGGATCCTATATCAAACCACAAATCCAACGCAATGCAGAAGGGCGTCTCGATCAAAATGACGTCGGATTATCAGAACGGTCGTCACCATCAACAGACAGAAAAACCTCTCCTCCCGGAATACTGGAAGACGTTGGTTAGCTGCCTGTACTTGAACCTTGTGTCTTTCTCCATGTGCTATGCGGTCACAGTCACCCACCAGGCGGCCCCAGACAGGCGTGTCCACCCGCCCCTCCCCGATGCGATCATGGACAATGTGCCCTATATCCCCTGGGGGACGCAAGGGGCTGAGGTCTGCACGATGGTACTCGGGGTCGTTCTGATTCTGGTCTGCGTCGTTCATAAACACAGGTAAATTGGGATCTCAAATATAATTGGGGTAGGGGCATTGGCGTACGCAGGATTTTTTTTCAAGGGGGGGGGGGGGGTTTAAGAAAAAAAAATGAAATTAAAATGAAGGGGGGGTAGCAGAAAGATGTATATGGGACTACGCACACGTGCGTAATGTCTATCACGTCCAAATAGATAAACAAATTTACCAAATATATCAATAAGTAGGCGGCTTCTTGGCAAAATTATATCATCACGTATTAGTCAAAACATATTCTTTTACATGATTGGTAATAAGAGCTACCATTTCATTTTTGAGAGGGGGGCGTTTCCAAAACTGGTCTTTACCTTTAATTCATTAGACCCAGTACTGATGATCATTCATCGTCCATGTGATTGCCATGTGTACGCCACATAGAATAGCACATAATAGATTATTATCATGTGTTTGATCTTGTTATTGAAAACATGATCAAACACATTAACGTCATTAAGCGTGATACCGTTCACTTCTATCTCTCCCCGCCAAATAATCTGAACAAAAGAATCAACCGAGGGGAATCAACTGTACAACGAATTTATCCGGAAAATTATTTAATACTGCTAGTCATAGTAGAGCAGCGAAGACGAACGATTGTCTGTCGCTACAATTCAGAAATCGTTGATGGGATTGCTTCTGCCTCAAAATTACCATGAGATATCAAGCTACATAAAACTATGATCGACAACAAAGATATGTTTTGAAAACAGTCAGAAAACATTAGATCTAGAATGAATAAGACTAGAATAAATAAGACACAAGTTCATTTTGCTATTAATCATCCAGTACCAAATACCTAAGCAAAATTCGAGCCAGATACATATAATGGTAAGCTTAAAGACAATGATTCATGACAATTGTCAGTTGTCATGCCTTTGAGTTTATCGTCTAGACGTATTGCAAAAGATAATCAGGATAATAAGAATCAGAATGATACCACTACTACAGTACTTCTACATGAAATATACTATATAATATACATTGATGATTATGCTGATGATACTGATGATAATAATGATATAATAATAATTATGATAATACTACTAACATTAATCATAATCATAATCATCATGATAATTTTCATCATGATGATAACAATAATGATAATAATAATAATGACAATAATAATAATCATAAAGATAACAATCATGAAAATGAAAGAAATGACTATATTAACAAAAACAATTATATTGATTACAAAAATAACATTAGTAACACCACCCACAATAATAATATTTATAATAAAAAACATTATCATAACACACCTCAGGAATGTTAAAAAGTGTGTATGAATGTTGTTGATATACGCTTGCGTGTACTGACTTAAGCGTTGGTCACATCCCACCGTGCGTGTTTTTAGTCCGTACGGTTTTTGGGGAGGCCACGGCCGCCACGTTTTTCTGAAAACGTAGGGAGGGAGTGGCAGAGGCAGGGAGGGAATACCGGCAACGCGCGTCACACGCACTGTGTAAGTACGTGGCCCGCACGCCACGCCTGGCCGTGAACGGTTGCGTGCATCGTACGTTGCGCACGTGGTAAGTGCGTTGTACGTGCTTACAACGTGCTTACAACGTACGGTCTCCGTGCGGTTGCCACGTTATCGTACGGAGGCCGTACTTACAAGTGCTGCTCACGTACGGTGTCCTTACTCACTCGCATGTTGTAAGTGCGTGAACGTGCGATGAACTCGGTTTTTTATATAGGACGACATTCCGATGTTCTCCAGAAGTCCCAGCTGTTGCTGCCTCAAGATGCCGCCCATTCCACTGAAGAGACTATATACTGCATAAGTCAGTGCGAACAACGTGCGTTGTAAGTGCTTACTCGGTACGGTCCACGTGAGTTATGCGTGCTCATTGGATAGCTGAACTGGGGAAGTGGCGAGTAAGCACGGACCACGCACTTATCACGTGCGCCTTTAAAAGACGCACGGAGTCAGTGCGTTGTGCGCTCGTTGGCAGTACCGGGCACGCACGTCACACGCACTGGGGTGAATCAGTAGCCCGAACGCAGCCCGAACGCAGCGAAAGTTCCTCACGCACTAAAAGTGCTACGGTGTGTCTGCGTGCTCCCAAATCCGTACGGAGGCGGTACTCATCACGTACGGATACCCAAATTTCGCCCACGTTTTTGCACGTAGACAGCACGCACTTGCAAGTACGGCGGGATGTGACCACCGCATTAGTTGTATTCATTACCATGATCATGAGTGAAATGGCACTATAACTGTATTCCGATCTTAAACTCACTTTAAAATAAATAACTTGAAAAAAGGGAAACTTGAATGGCTGCAATTAAGTCAGCAGCAATTAATACGGCTTCATAACTATTCAGATACTTTTGGTTTCTGAAATCTACTTAATAAAAAAATGCAAACGATTCTTTGGATAAAAGCAAAACTGTTAAAGATAAACTCCAGTACTGGTAAAAAAAAGAAAATTAATTCTTACATAATCAAACAAAACTTACACTGAATGTTCAAGATTACAAGTAACTGACATGTGCCAAACAGTTTTGGAAGAAAATGTATACTGGCTGAGTAATGAGCATAGAAAGACTAGGGAATCAAGGTAGTACCAGCCCCGACACCATATGTGTGTTGTCCCATATATAGCTGTCTGTGTACAGCGCTTGTTACTTTACCAAGACTCGGTCAAATTTATTATGATTTTGATGACTCCAGAACCTTGCAGTGCACACCAATACTTACATGCTACATGATCAACTGTTTCTGATCCTTTCCACACCTTTTCTTTCACAATGCAATCGCATTACCAGTACTAAAGCTAATCTTTAATGTTTACACATTGTTATACTTTTTTGATAGAAATAGGCAGATGCCGTACACGAAAAGAAAGAACGTGGTAGCAAGTTAGAAATCAAAAACCTTGACTAAATGCTGATAAAAAAGACAATAAATGAACAAGTCACCAATGAAAATAAACGGCGCGAAACAGTATAAATAGAGAGAGAGAGAGAGAGAGAGAGAGAGAGAGAGAGTGTGTGTGTGTGTGTGTGTGTATGTGTAGCAACATAACGTGGGAGAGCTGAGGATTGAAATATATTTTTTTCTTTGGCTCAGTTCTACCATGTCTACAATGAATATTTACGAGTATGTTGTTTCAAGGATTCTACCTCATTGATTGTATATGGTAGAATGGATCCTTTATGTTTCGAAAATCGACTCACGAGTACAGAGTGTCCAAGAAAAAGAGGGACCTAACCTGAACTAATTCGTAGATAACACGATCGATATGAGAGAATCAACTGAAGGTGTACTGCCTATAGAAATAATTTTCTTACAACAAATTATTAGCATATACAATAAAATAAAGCATAATGAATATGATAAAATAAGGAAAAATATTGACAGTTGAAATTTGTTTCTTCTTCAGTTCTTTTATAGCGCATATCCCATCAATAATACGTCTCTATGCGCTTCCAAAGAGCTTTGGAAATTATTTGGAAATTCACATAACATGTTATGTTTAAATTGTCCTCACAATATGAACTTATTTGTGGATTACCACAAGTGAAAATACGGCGAACACGAGATTGAAGGATTACACGCGATGGAAACCAGAGTGACACAGGGAGCGTGTATGGTGAACAATCAGCTCAATAAATCAGTGGACATAGCTAAAGAAATCGAAATGAACATTTCATGGAAGAGAATGATTCGACAGTCATGAAAAATCATATCCCTTTAAAAGGGATCGTGTAACTGTGTATCAGATTCTGAAACAAAATCCTGGTTTTAGCTCATCCTACAAGGATAATTATAAACCTTTAGGTCAGTCAGGAACCCCATTAATGTTACAAGCCGATCTCCTGTCTGATTATCAAGATATTTATAATTCAAATCGAATTCAAATTGTGCGTTCTCCTAACGGTTTTCATAACACTACAGTCTATTGGGGGAAATGAGTATGGTAAAACCGCTCACTCAAAGACTTTTATTTTTTTTTGAGGCACTTTATCATTTTGAAGCGAATTTTCTTTAGGGCTTTAATATCACACCGTGTCACAGTCACTGATAACACGTAGGGCCGTGTATCTCAGATTTTACATTGTTAAACGATGCGTTTAACGAGAAGACCAAGGATAAATCTGAGGATATTTTTAAAAGAAGGTTCGTGTCACCTTTTTCCCCCACGTGAAATAATCGCAGAAGCATGGACATGAGAAGTGTGAGTTATTGCGAGGAAGTGTGGCGTGTGCGAAATTTTGGATATAGTAGCCCGAATTCACAAAGGAGGTTTGTACAAACCTCCTTTTGTTTCGCCAAACCTCCTCTTGTTCTTTACAAACCAGGTTTGTAAAAAACGCGTAAAAACGCGTCATATGACGTACGAAAACCAAGGTTTGTCGACAAACCTCCTTTGTGAATTCGGGCCGTTGTTTTTGTATGCGGGCATGGGTGTTGGAAAGGGAGGAGGAGGAGGTGGTGGTGGTGGTGGGGGTGGTGGTGGTGGTGGTTGTGGTTGGTGTGGTGGTGGTGGTGGTGGTGGTGGTGGTAGTCTTATTTCACGTTCATTCTCCATCTCCTTTCCTTTCTCATTTCCCTTTTTGGGCCATTTGATCGCGGGGGGGGGGGGACGGATAGACATGTGTCGATCTCAACTGTTTAGAACGAAAGGTGATACAGAAAAAATTAAGCAAGGTCATAGATTTAGCGGGAATGACTTTTTAATAGTGTTTCCTCATGGTTCAAAGATATTTAACATCAAAGGAAGCTAATATGAGGAAAAACGATGGTCTGTCGACCAGACATATAATGTATTTTCCATTCAAAACGAAGGTTGTGCAAACAAAATTAAATAAATGATAATAATAATAATAATAATAGCCTAATAGTCCACTCCAAATTTTATTGAACCGAAACGGAAATTCTTTTTGCCCAATTAATCGTGAGCCCGGCAGCCACTGAGCAACGCCAGATCGTCGTTGCTCTATCCCTTAAATGCACCGATATCCATTAATCTTGAAAATCCCCATGAGTTTAAAATAGAAATACGAGCGTTATGATTGTGATGACACAATTTCATGTTTCCTGAAGAGTTAAAAAAAAAATTACATTGCTTTTCAATTCTTACTTATCCATCATATCGAATTCATGTTTGAGGAAATTGAAATTTGATATGAAAAAGTTCCGTGTATTTCATCAGAATATTGTTATTACTAGCGTTACATTTTCTCCCAATCTGTTTACATAATGTGGAATATGAAACCTCAGCATCCACGTTAATCTTACTGTTATCTAGTAACTTCTTGGTTTCACCGACCACGCAATTTCCTCAACTTTACTCAGCATAACCTTTGAAAGTACTTTAGTTATTATTACCATTTTTTAAGGAAAGGTTGAGATCTAGCTGGTAAGGATGGCAATAATTTATGAGCTTTCTTACTTTTCTTTATCTTTGGTAAAACATCATCAATGGAATGTCCCTTGAAAAGGTCGCATCACCGTCCTCCAAATACCTTTATATGCGAAATAAGATGAGAAATAGCCGTTAAGATTCGACCAAACTTTACGTCAAATGTGTATGTAATCCCATATACACTGTGTCTCATGCAGATGACTTTCAGCAAAGTTAATTTCTTGTCGTTTTGATGATTCCTAAATCACACAGTAAACAGAATGTGTAGTGGTGGTTATTTTGCCTGACTGCTGAGAAAACATGAGTGCTTGTTAGTAAGCAACCAGATGACCGACGGCTTAATTGGCCTTCTACGATACACCAGCGGTTACCTATCCAATCTTTCCCAATCGCTCCTAGACCGGTCTTTCTATTAAAAACAAATTTGATTTGATTTGATTTGATTTTTTGATTTCTATATCATATTTTAAGTATTTAAAGGACTTAGTTTTACGTGCTTTCAATCTTAGAATAGAGATAGATATTGTTTTATTACTCAAAATGAATTCGCAAACCGAAATCGATTTGATAATGACTATTGCTTTTTGGTCGATTTATAAAATGATTATTTTTCGTAATAAGTATGGATATGATAATAGAGATTTGAGTTTGATTTACTTATTTAAGAGAGAAATGACTGACAGAATAGAAATAAACGAACATTTGAAAGTACAAAATATGAAATTTCCTGCGAACTTGCTTAGTTATATTTGAGTAAATAACTTGTGTATTATTGATGTTCCATTGATTTGCTAAATTGTAAGCAAAATTATGTTACTGTTTGAATATTGAATAAACACCTCTAAGAGGCAAAGAGAAAAAAAAAATATCATATTTTAAACATATATATTTTAAACATACATAATGTCCATCAGTGTAATAATTTACGTTTCAAAGTACCATACATGATACTCATACTGTATAGAACATAGACAATACATAGGAGAACATTACTCACTTTTACAATTGATATAGGAGGGATATAGCGTAATTAGCATGAACCTTGAAATGCTTGCAGCCCTCGATTAAACTAAACTAAACCAATCTAAACTAAACTAACAGCTTACAGTATAAATGAAACATAATGAAGAGAGAGAGAGAGAATGGCTTGCAATTGAGAGAGAGAGAGAGAGAGAGAGAAAGATAGAGAGAAAGAGGATGGACTGGTGTTGAGTTTCAGTGATTACGACAGGTGGATATGGCGGCTTCTCATCGGGCTAACATATTTAGTTTTACATAAATGTGTATAAAAAAAATATATATAAAAATGTTCTATTCATTTTTGTTCCATCATACCAAGATGCTGGCGTCATTGACAACCAGTCCTTTCGCCAGCGCGGCTACACTTAAATTTTCTACAACATCGTACTTTACCGGTACATAGCCAGCGACACTCCCTGTCAATTGATGCCGACATCTTGGTATGCTCCTATGAGAATTGCCATTGCGTACGGGTAGTGAAAATGTTAGACAAATATTGCTAAGCATATGAATATTGTTTATTTTTCTTCATAATAAGTTTCAATTTAATTAAATTACGTTTTTTTAATATACACAAGACTATGTCATTGTTGTAACTTCCGGAGCCTATGACCTACAAGCATTGCTTTCTCTTTAGGCTCCATCATATTTCTTCCCTCATTCAACTTAGTCTTATGTATCATTTTTTTTTTTTTTTGTATAAACGCATCCTAATGATGTACTATACAACATGTGTGAAATATGAAAATAAACTGAAACTGAAACTGAAACTGTTGAATTCCAAAATACAAAAGAGGGATGCAGAGGAACATTATACCTGTGGCGATGTGTAATGGAGTTTGTTTAAAATAACTCATCAAGTTATGATGTCATCTGCCCATAGGAGGATTTTTACCTAAGTACACATAGAATTCTAACCATTCTCATCAAGATGGGCATCAAATTTGAATTCTTTCATTCCCAAAAAAAATAGCTCTGTTTTCTCTCGAAGAATTATGGTTGTGCCTTATTACGATTTCGCCTTAAAGATGATTATGGTGTTGGCAGTTATGTAGCGTGATGCCAGCCATACGAAGACACTGGTGTTTATAGGGATGGTTTATATTTATACTAGAAAGATTTTAAGGCGAAACAATTGTGACATTGAGTGTGGCAAGGTATGCAGGGTATGGACTGGGTCGTATAGAGACTCATCTATAAACGAGGTTTGACCAACTTGGTTTCAGTTGTTTAGAACATGGACCTGGTTGGAACATAGTATATCTTCATTTGTTTTGTGATGTATAAGTAGCCATTATTATTTCATTTTGCAGGACCATTATCTGTCGAAGATTCTGTGCTATAATGGCAACTATTTACATCATGCGGATCGCTACCATCCTATCCACTGCATTGCCTGTATTACCGCCCCCAAGTGAATGTACCACAATGGTAAGTCTGAAAATACGGGGGGGGGGGGGGGGGGGAGGGGAGGGGAGGGTGTTATGGAGGAGGGGCGATGCAGGCAATGGATAATTGCACCCGTTTGATTTGCTAAACATATATCCCTAAACGCTATTGAAAAAAATCGTTTTCCAGAGATTTAGCATACATATTATTAGAACGTTACAGAATTTATGAGATTTCTATTCTAATTTCAGAAATTTCTGAGCCATGTGCCGTCCTTCGATAAGACCAAACCTTGGTGCCACCCCTAAATGGCATATAATTGTTTATTTGTGTTTAACCCAATTCTGTCCGTCTTTATGAGAAATGGTTATAGGATGTACACCTTAATTAAAATTTATGCTTACCGAGGTGTCCTCCTCAGTACAGCTAGCATTCAATAACTTACCTGTTAAATGATAAATATTATGGCAATAAAAAAAAAAAGGAATTCGGGTTGTATCATTCCTATTTTTTTTTTGTAATGCTCATAATGATTGTGTAAACTGAAAGTCAATGCAAATTAATTTGCTGTTATTGTGGAATTAAATGTAATGAAACAAAATTAAAGAGAAGGTTGAGTTCTGGGAAGAGGTGAAAAATAATTTGTGAGCGTTATCATTCTTATTATGCAAGTGTGGAAGAACATCAGATAAGACATGTTCCCTGAAAAGCATGGCTCTTCAAATGCCTTCATATTCTAAATATGTCATGTACAGCGTAAAACTCGGGGGGTAGGTTTTTACGCCACGTGTTCGTGTAGTCCCAAATACATCTTTCTGTGTACAGTGTTTGTAACTTTACCAAGACTTGGCCAATTTCTTATCATTTTGATGATTCCAGAACCTTGCAATACACACAAATTCTTATATGCTAGATGATCAGCCTTTTCTGGTCGATTCCACACCGTTTCTTTCACAATGCAATCGCATGACCAGAACTCAACTTCATCTTTAAATACTCATCTGTTCAAATATACGCCCCCTATGAAATTTTTCGATCCACCACATAAACATGGACAATTGAAATGGGACATAAGGCAAGTTTAGAAAATGTTGTTTCCCCATTTGTATGTATTTAAATGATGTTCACCTGTAACTTCTCTTCACCACACTGAAACATAGATATAAATAAGAGGTGGCTGGGCAGTTTGGACGGCTGGAAAAGAGGGGACAGGGGCGAAAATGGCCATGGCGGTATTTTCGCCAACAATATTCCATAATTATTTGCTTATGGCTCCGAATAGTCTCATTCGACAACGCCCCCTATCATCAGAGTCCACACCCTAACATGTTAGCCTCCTGCCTTTTACCCCCCCAAAAATCGTTAAAAATTCATTTTTTGTTTAAACGAAAAGCACATCCACCCTAACGTACGTTGACACTAGCTCTTTCATTGGAACCCTCATGTCCCATTGACTTTTGAAAGTTCACCCACCGTTATTTGGTCAAAATAGGTCGCTAACTCGCCATTGCCTATATAACTCATGTGAAACAAGTCGAACTTTGGACGCAATTTGACACCCGATTGTAATAGGTCAAGCACACGAAGGATAAGCATGAAGTATCATAGATCAGTTCTGATCGGTTCATTATGTCCATTTCAGCCAACCCCCACCGTAATTTTTCCATTTAGTATCGGCAAGCATTTTGCCGAGGTAAGCAAAAACATGAATATTCATGATCGCCATGGACTATTCGATTATTTACAGAGGGGTGCAATTGTGCACCACAACAAACTCCCCTACTTTAAATCAAGTATTTCATTGTATTATGTAGTTTGGTAGGTTTATTTTAAAAACTGTTTAATTATCAGATATCAATCATAGTTTAAAGATATGCAAAATGTTCTTGTATTTTATATTTAGCAAAGCAATCTCATACACAAAATCACTACCACGTGTCGTCTAATCCGCCGATTGCCGTCTGCTATAAACGTCCAGCGAGCGAAAATGAGACAACCGGAGCAATATGCTCCAGCAGTGACGTCCCTAATATGAATATTGCAGGAATTAGAAATCTGACACATTTAGTTATGATATTCACTTGTACTTGGGCTTCAAATTCAATAGAGTAAAAAAATAATAGAAACATTATGCACTCATTGAGTGCATAATGTTCATTAAATGTACTTGACAAGTACATTTAATGCGCACTATCGCAACGGTCATTATTTCAGGCAACGTATATCTTGAAATACCGAAGATAAACATTTATTAAGGGCAGGTAGACTACTCTGACATAAGGGCTTACACAAAAATATAAACATTAGATACACGGGAATGTGAGCAGTTTGTATCAATGACTCTATTTGAAATTTAAGTTTTATTATTTTCTCCTCCTTCTTCCTCTTCCTCCTCCTCTTCTCATTCATTAAATTCCACTTCTTCTTCTTCTTCTTCTTCTTAATAATAAAATAATAATACATATGATTTATAAGGCGCCAAATCAAGGTGCAGCTTGTGCAAGAGATGAAATACATACATGATACATTTATACAAAGTGCGATAGGAAAGGTACAGACATGAAAGGTTATGACAATCAATTATAAGCTAAATTAAACAGATATTTCTTAAGAATCTTCTTCTTCCTCTTCTTGTTCTTGTTCTTGTTCTTCTTCTCCTTCATCATCTTCTTCTTCTTCTTCTTCTCCTTCTTCTTCTTCTTCTTCTTCTTCTTCTCTGTCATCTTTTTCTTCTTCTCTTTCCTCTTCATCTTATTTTGTTGTTGTTGTCGTTGTTGTTGTTATTATCATTATAATTATTATTATAATTTAACAAAAATATTATTACTTTTATTATTTTCATTATTTGTATTATGATTGTTATTTTCATTTTGGGTATTATGATTATTATTTTCATTATTATCATTATCATTATAATTATCATCATTTTCCTTATAATGATCTTTATTATTATAGATATTATTATTATAGTTATTATTTGTTGTTATTATTTTCTTTCTTATGCTCATAAAGGAAATGGACACCGCTGCTAACCGACTGAACATCGCCATTGCAGTATGGATGAAATCAGGATCTCGATTAAGTGGCATCAAAATGTGTGGAGACTACATGTTTAGTGGACATATAACTTCCCTCACCCTTGGAAATCTCTTTATTATTGAATGTAAGTATATTAAATACTTTCGTAAAATAAAAATACATCATAATGCGCGAACATGACAACGACATTTAACGTAATCCGGACTTGATTGCTATGAGACATACAGAAGGATATTGGAATTACCCTTGGGATGTTATGGTTTAAGATGTTTCGACATTGTAAGCTCCTATAACTTAGTTACATAACGATAGAGAGTTTTGATCAAACAAACAGGGTAATAAAGAAGGCAAAATCTGTGGGTGAGCTTCAACTTTAATATGACCGTTTCATTAAACTTGTTTTTATTTGTTTAATGAAATGTTTTATTTTTCAAAACAGCAGGGCCCTTGATCGCGATCAGAATTTTACTCTTAAAGCTTATCTGCCGTAGTTTACAGGAGGGATTAGACTGCCCTGCAAGGTCACTGGACAGGTGGTTATCTCATCAACTCAGCTCTCAGTTAACATAAGAAAAAGAGGATCATGGGGGACCAATGGTCACCGATTAGGCATTGTTTGTTATATAGAGGGCGCAAGTAGCCAGGCGCGGATCCAGGGGGGGGGGCCGAGCGTGCCTTGGCCCCCCCCCCCGCAAAAAAAAAAAAAAAAAAAAAAGAGAGAGAGAGAAGAAAGGAAAAGAAGGGAAAGGAAAGAGGAGAGAAAGGGAAAGAGAGAAGAGGAAGAAGAAAAGAAAAGGGGGAAGAAAAAGATCGGGGGCCGAAAGGGCCTTGTCTCCCAGGCTGTTGCCCCCCCCCCCCTCCCCCATCACAAAAATAAGAGAGAAGGAAGGAAAGGGAAAGAAAAAAGAAAAAGGGGAGATACTGGCGAACTGATAGGGGGTAGGGGGCTTGTGGAAAATCAAATTTAAACGTGGTTTATTTCTAATTCCATAACGGTAGATTACAAATAATGCTGAAATGACATAATTTTCAGAGATTTTTCCTCACTTTTTAGTAAATTATACGTTTTTATGTGACAAATTCCTAAATTTACAGCCAGGCAAGAAATGTGATTCTTGAGATTCCTACATGTCAGGGCCCGAGGAATGGCGGGGATCGAGAGCCTCGAGCCCCCCCCCCCACTTTTTTTGAAAAGGTATATTAAAGAAAAATAAAAAAAGAAAGAGAGCAAGAAAGAAAAAAGAGTTAACTGCCAGTGTCAAAAAATAATGAGGCATCAAAATATGCTCATCTGACCGTGATTAAATGCCTAAAGCCCCCGCGCTTCCGGGGGCTCTGCTGGCCCCTGGATTCCAACTAGGGCCCTAAGGCGGGCCCTTAGATGCTCATCTGACGGTAATTTAATGTCTAAAACTCCTGAGCCTCCGGGGGCTCCACCGCCTCGACCCCACCAGGGGCCCTAAGGCGGGCCCCTGAATGCTTATCTGACCGTAATTTATAGCCCCTGAGCTTCTGGGGTCGGAAAAGTTATCAAAATATGTTTATCTGACCGCAGGCGCGTAGCCAGGGGGGGGGGGGGGGGGGGCTGTGGGGGCGGTCCCCGAAAATCGCCGTCAAAATAAAAAAAAGAGAGGAGAGAAAAGAAAGAGGGCGTAGGAATAAAAAGGAGCAGACAAAGAACATCTTTGAAATTCAGACAAGGATTAAGAGTAGAGAACGGTACAACGCATCGTCTTCTTTCTCTAATGATTTAATAACACGTCAAAGCTTCCGCGCTTCGCGCAGGAGGGGAGGGGGGGGGGGGACTGAATTCAGACAAGGATTAAGAGTCGAGAACGGTACAGCGAATCGTCTTCTTTCTCTCACAATCTTAGGAAACGTCCAAAAATTCCGCGCTTTGCGCGGTAGGGGACTGAATTCAGACGAGGAGCATTATCGAGAACAGTATAACGGATCATCTTCTTTCTCTAATGATTTTAATAAAACCTAAAAGCTTCCGCGCTTCGCGCGGGAGCGGGGGGGGGGGAAACTAAATTCAGACGAGAAATATTTTTCGAGAACGGTACAACGAATCGTCTTCTTTCTCTAATGATTTAAATGAAACTTAAAGCTTCCGCGCTTCACGCGGGAGGGGGGGGGGGGACGAATTTAGAGAAGGATTAAGAGTCGAGAGCGGTACAACGAATCGTCTTCTTTCTCTAATGATTTAATGAAACTTAAAAGCTTCCGCGCTTTGCGCGGGAGGAGGGAGCCTGAATTCAGACGAGGATTAAGAGTCGAGAACTCTACAACGAATCGTCTTGTTTCTCTAATGATTTAATGAAACGTCAAAGCTTCCGCGCTTCGTGCACGAGGGGAGGGGGGGGGGGAAAACTGAATTCAGACAAGGATTAAGAGTCGAGAACGGTACAGCGAATCGTCTTGTTTCTCTAATGATTTAATGAAACGTTAAAGCTTCCGCGCTTCGCGCACGAGGGGAGGGGGGAACTGAGTTCAGACAAGGATTAAGAGTCGAGAACGGTACAGCGAATCATCTTCTTTCTCTCATAATCTTATGAAACGTCAAAAATTCCGCTTCGCGCGGTAGGGGAAAAACTGAATTCAGACTAGGATTCAGAGTCGAGAAAGGTAATACGAATCGTCTTGTTTCTCTAATGATTTAATGAAATGTAAAAGTTTCCGCGCTTCGCGCGGGAGTTGGGGGGGGGGGGGGGGGGGGGGGGGGGGGGGAGGGGGAAACTAAATTCAGACGAGGATTATTTTCGAGAACGGTACAACGAATCGTCTTCTTTCTCTAATGCTTTTAATGAAACTTAAAAGCTTCGCGCGGGAGGGGGGGGGGGCCTGAATTCAGACGAGGATTTAGAGTCGAGAACTGTACGACGAATCTTTTTTTTCTCTAATGGTTTAATGAATCGCAAAAGATTCCGCGCTTTGCGCGGGAGTGGGGGGGGGGGGGGGAACCTGAATTCAGACGAGGATTTAGAGTCGAGAACTGTACGACGAATCGTCTTTTTTCTCTAATGGTTTAATGAATCGTAAAAGCTCCCGCGCTTTGCGCGGGCGGGGAAAAACTGAATTTAGACGAGAATTATTTTCGAAAACGGTATAACGAAACGTCTTCTTTCTCTAATAATTCAATGAAACGTCAAGAGGGAGGGAGAACTCGCCCCTCCCTGCATGCACCCACCCCCTCCCCGCATTACGTCACTGCTGGTCACCATTACGAACCAATATTTGGCTCGCATAATTTCACATTTGGGCCCCCCCCCTAAGAAATCCTGGATCCGCGCCTGCAAGTAGCTACAAGTAGTGCAGTGGGCCTTTAAATAGCAAGCATGTGAATACCCCTAAACTAATTTTACTCTATCTTGTTTTTCCTTCAGATACACCGAGTAGATTATTCTTTATACGCTACCTGACTACAGCTGTCAACATCGCAGGCTCCATCGTGATCATTATCGGTAGGGGACATTACACGGTCGACGTCATCATCGCAATCATCCTCGTTTTCATAGTCTTTCAATATTATCATTCACTCACACGCCTTTACGTCTTAACAAAGAGCAGCGAAAAACTTCAATGGTTTCCGTTCTTTTTGTATTTTGAGCGTAATGTATGCCTCACTGTGCCAAACGAGTATGAAAGCCCTCAGCTCTCCAATTTGCTTAGTACTATATTAGGGAAATTTAAAGGAAACATATAACTTTGATAAAAGGGAACCAGCGAAAAAAGCTAGATAAAAAAAGCACTGTCGCAAAGACTAAAGGAGGGCACCGGGCCCCACCGGGCAGAGCTGAGGAATGAAATGGGTTATATAAATATTGCAAAATTGTTTACTTTACTTGTATCAAAGAGAACTGTTGCTGAGCTAGCGCCATGAGTGTCCCTGCACGGAGTGTGCGCTCTATAAGTCTACACTATTATTATTATTATTATTATTATTATTATTATTATCATTATCATAAAGGAATATAAAAAAACCTAAGGCGATTGCAATGGCCTTGTGTGCAGCTGAATATATTTTGTATAAAAGCTGCGCTATATAAATTTATTATCATTATTTATATTATTGTTATCTCTTGAAATATGCGAACATGGAATTGACATATTACATAATCGGACCATTAATTCGCTAAGCAGTACTATAGGGCATTGAAAGAACCATTGTGTTGATTTCTTTGTAAGCATGGTTGCAAACAGATTCGTGAATGTCTGAACGAATCTGGATAAACCATAAGAAAGTTTCTTTTCAAAGTGATGCACACATCACCAGACATATTTTGTGCTGTACATGTATGTTAGGCGTCCCATGTGGCTATACTATACAGAGGGCGTGCTTCAATTATTATTGCTGCTAATAAAGAGATACTGCAAGTTTAAATACACTCTCAATTAACGTAAAGTGACTTGTAAGTAGATTACTAGATGCACCCGTAAGTAAATGACACTTTGGCTGAAATTCTTTTTCATATTTTGTAGTGCCTTGATACTTGGTGACTTGGTGTCGTCTTCATTTGGTTATACCGTGTGAGTAAAAAAAAAAAGTTTTTTTTTCACTCTCGCAAACAATGCCTCCTGTTCATCCAAGCGTGAACACATTCCACACAAAAATGATACCGAATGATTTGGGATAAAAAACTCTTTCACAAGATGTATAATAATTTACTGTTCATAGATGATTTTTAAAATAATTAGCAATTTTCTAGGTGTATTTTTTTTTGGACTCACACTGTATATTACTTTTAAAGTAATATACAGTGTGAGTCAAAAATTAGAGAAATATAAATATGCCAAGACATCTGTTAAACATGTTATCATTTCTTAGCTACAGTCAAACCTGTCCATTAAGGCCACCCCATGAAACAGAGAAAGAAGCCACTGTAGACAGGTGGCCTTTCTAGACAGGTTCTACAACATATATTTCTTTTTCGAGGCAGACCAATTACATGGCCACAATAAACAGGTGGATTTCTTTTTATAGAGGGGTGGCCACAGTATATTATCTTGGAACGCGTTTTGATGGTTTATGGGTAGAGTCAAACGGATATTTGTACGCGGAAAGGGGACAGAAATTAAGGTACTTTCGTGATTTTTAAACATTTACATTGATTAATGATTACTGGCTACTCCTTGGTACTGGTTTGCGCTCTTCAGCAATAGACATGTGACATATTTGCCCAATAGAGGGCAGATGATACATTTTATTTGTTGGCCACATTGAGTAATTACCAACGAGATGCGTGATCAAGCTTTCGTTTAGCTGCATTTTGGAACACTGGTTTATTGTCGAAGGCTACGAGAGTCTGATACGAGAGGGTCCTAGGTTCGATCTTCACTGGATGCTTACATTCTTAATGGAACAAGGTGTTAAAGCCCTACTATACTACTTATAGCTACTTGCGCCCTCTATATAGCAAACAATGCCTAATCGATGACCATTGGTCCCCATGTTCCCCTTTTTCTTATGTTAATTGAGAGCTGATTTGATGAGGTAACCACCTGTCAGTGACCATGCAGGGAGGTCTAACCCCTCCTAGCCAAACTAGTACAGACGGACTTTAAATGCAGTAGGTCTCCTTCGTAGTCTTATGCATACTCCATGAAATTTGGCGAGTATTTAAAATATTTCCTTCAGATATCGTTTGTGAAATTTTACAGTCATAGGTTCTCAAACGTCTTTGTATGAAATAAAACTCTAGCGCTGTTTTCATATTGCCATGGGGGAGCTCAGGCACTTACTTAATAATAAAAAAAAAAAATTAAAAAAATGTGCTCTCCCCTCATTCCCCCCCCCTCCCGCTTTCGTTGCAAAATTTCACATCAAATTCTGGACCAAAAAAAAGTTAACTGTTATATGAAAGAAAAAATGTACAATCATAATTAATTGGAGATTTTTCTATGTTCATTGTTCATTGATTGATGTAATTCATGAAGTGTTTTATTTAGAAGATCTTGCTTTGTATTACGTACTGCGATAATTTCTTGTAATGTGAATTTTATGAGGAAGGCAATAAAATATAATAAAAATAAAAAAGAGGTCGAACTAGTTTTTAATTAAGTACGATTATTTGTTCGACTCTAGAAGATTGATATCTGGGATTCTATATGTAAGGTAAATTTGTTGAAAGGTAGTTTCCCTTTTTGTTTATTGGTGAGAGGTTCCTAATAATAGACCTCTTCTATATACCACTGGATTCATGGAGCTTCAGGTTTTTAGGTCTGCAAAAGGGACAAACCATCGTTGATCTACCCTTGTCCCTTCCCATTCAATCAAGTTGGCAACAAATTGTTTGTTTTTCCTCCCTTTCATAGTTTAGAAGTAAAACTGAATATTAAATGAAAATAAATTAAACAAGTCAACGAGAAGTTATCATTTCGTACCCAATAAAAGTGCTCATGAATTTCACTTTGGAAACTTTATAGATGACTGTTATCGATTACATTCGTTAACGGCACATTGTACAGATATGGATTCAAATTTTGTAATGGTCTTTGCACTCTCTGCTCACGTAATTCAGAGCATTCTCGATCAGACGATAAAACTAAAGAGGTAACACTTAACTGCTAGTCTGCTACGGGTTTACTTACTGGGCACACATACTTGTGGGTTGATTAAGATTTTCTCTGTTCTTCTCTCAGTCCCTTTGGTTTATCGACGCCCCATGTGTCTGCTGAATGTGGGGATTAAATTGTTGTAAGTTTTCTGTAAGATGTTTTATTTACCCAAGGCCAATCTACCAATTAGTACCCATCCAAATGCACCATCTCTTGAATGAAACAGAAAAAGGGATAAGGTGAGAGAGAGGGCAGACAGGGTAAACGGGGTGAAATAAGTTAAAGTCCATCAGTGTCCATAAAGTAGTTAAAACGTGTGAATGGGAATGAGATGTATAGTTACGTTTTGACATAGATTGGTATTGAATACATTTTAAATAATAGAGAGGAGAGAGAGAGAGAGAGAGAGAGAGAGGGGGAGGGGGGGGGGAGGGGGTGCGCTGTGTTTTTGCATTGCACTTACTTTCCTGGCATTTGCTAATTTCTACACGCACGAACTCAAAGTTATCCCTCTTCCAATAATACCAATAATAATATCAGCAAGACTGTTACTTGTTTGTGAAAACAACGTACATAGAAATGAAAGATAATGCCTAACCAATAACTGTAAACAAATAAAACAAATGTACATAAAGTATATTTTCTTTTTCACAAATTGAAACTTGGGTCGATATTATAATTTAATCTGTCAATCCATTTTAGAAAATATAAATTGCAAAATGTGAACAGTAGCGTCACCAGACATTTTACGAGACCGTTCAATGTGCTGAAAGAGTAGACCCTCACTGTGAGCTCTTCCAATCAAATGATTCACAGCATTTCACTGCAACTAATTGTATTATATCTCATACACAAAACACCCAACTTATTACCAACACGGAATTAAAAAAAAGAGACAAAGTTTGTCATATCGAGAAGTATCCGTATTTTCTACATATGAAATATGCACGGGTTAATTTGGAGATAATTTCGTTTGAAATTAGATGATGGATGGTAGATAAAGTAAGACGTTGAATTATATCAATCACTACTGATGCCCTGTCTCGCCGGCTGCCCGCAAGACGGCTGTAGCTGTTACTAGCTCTTACGGCCTTCATGCGGGCAGCCGAATTGATGAGCTTTCTCCTCTAGTTTTCTTTGAAAAAGCTTTTTCTGATTGAGGTTTATCGTTAATGTTTGGGCACGTGCTGCGAATCATTGTAAATGCACCTCCCACAAAAACCGGATTAAATCGTGAAGGATAAAAGAAAGACACGAAAAGAAAAGAAAATGGGAGGAGAAAGGAGGACGGAATATAAAGATGGGAAGACATGCAAAGACACAAGGGCCACTGAAAAATGAAAGACACGATTTACTTTCAAAAGACCAGTTCGTATTTAGCTTTGCTACAAATGAACCTAAAATATCCACAGATCCTTTACACATGGAGATATCCCACTATGGGCATCTTTAGAATAATAATCACCAATGTGATGGACTTGCTTAATAAATACCTTTTGATTGAAAACAATATTTCCACCAGTGAATCGAGAATACCAGCGAATAAATGAATAATGATAACATGACTGTCAAAAACAAGAATCCAGTATTTGTTTCGATGGATTTCAATTTTTGTATAAATGGTACTTATCACAAACACTGTGAATAATAGCGGTATTCCTCACGTACGCCCGTAACATCCCGACGTAGGCATAACATTTAAAGATAAACTCCAGTACTGGTAAAAAAAAAAAAAAAATTCTCACAGAATCAAACGAAACTTACACTGAATTTTCAAGATTACAAATAAATGACATGTGCCAAACAATTTTGGAAGAAAATGTATACTGGCTGAGTAATGAGCATAGAAAGACAAGGAAATCAAGGTAGTATTAGCCCCGACACCATGTGTGTTGTCCCATATATAGCTTTCTATGTGAGTGCTTGTTACTTTACCAAGACTCGGTCAAATTTATTATGATTTTGATGACTCCAGAACCTTGCAGTGCACACCAATACTTACATGCTACATGATCAACTGTTTATGATCCTTTCCACACCTTTTCTTTCACAATGCAATCGCATTACCAATACTAAAGTTTATCTTTAATGGGGGAGAGGTAGGGGGGAAATGGCAACTTAACACCATTACAAAACGAGGCCTTATCTTTCAGAAATTCCCATAAAATAATTCCGCTGGTGAATATACTTTTCATAGAATGATAGCGGCTGTGGTCCAGGGATCGTTTTCAATTCAGTACGCGGATGAAGACAGTGTTTTATTGCAATTAGCATTTGGCATGGATAAGTAATATATCTTAACTCATATTTAG